GGGTATAAATGGCATAATTTGAATAAAAATTAGAATTTTTATACCCTACACAACTATGTTGCAGGGTATTATAGCTTTGTGCATCCCCAAAAGTTTGTAACGCCGCGAAATATTGGTCCTGGAACCGCCATTCAGTATACCTCTAGTAATATATCGACTAGCTGAGTCGATGTAGACATGTGTGTCCGTCCGTCCGTCCGTCTGCCCATTATAATTTGTAAACACGATACAGGCCACAGTTATGGACCAATCTTCACGAAATTTTGCATGTAAGACGGGTTCTGGCCAATGAAGACCCCAATTGTTTTTGGTAAAGATCAGATAATATTTAGAGGATGAAATGGACCAAATACTTAATTTTTGTCGGTTTTTCTGGTCGCTCCAGAGGCCGAAATTATGGCCCGAACATCGTGAATTTTTACATGGGGAAGGTGATCAGGTCAAAGAATAAGCATGTCTGTTTTGACAAAGATTAGTCAATATTTAGCGGGTCAAATGGACCCTAACTTTTGTGCGAAAAATGACAAAATTTGTATTATATAGCGTATATATTTACTCCTGAAGGACATAGAGCCGAGAAGTTGATAGTATATCCAGTTGAGAAGATGATAGTATATCAATTATATTTTCGTATGTTCTCGGATGTGGGAGTTACACATAAATATTTACAGGTGCTTACGTATTCACATATTATTTAGTAACCCATTATAACACTAGCGGGCGGAAATATAACGCTGATCGATTTGATGGGGTTCCAGTTATGGTCAAGGACAACGCCTATACTCTTTGGTGATGGTCAGATACAACTTTTGGGATGAAGTGGACCGAAAAGTTATTTTTTGTGTGTGTGTTTTTTTTTGATTCGATCTATAGGCTACAATTAGAAGACGAACATCACATTACAACCCACGGTGAAGGGAGTATGGAAAAGTAATTAGAAGGGATGCACTGAATATCGGTAATATTCAGAAAATATTTCAGTGTAAGGAAGAGGTGTTGTTGACCTCTAATCGGGCATGAGGGTGCAACTACCACGAAATATTACCCAGACTCGGAATAAACTTCTTTAGAATGTTAGAACTCCGTCGTAGTTGTGTAGGGTATTGTATGGTCGGCCCCGTCCGACTATACTGCTCCGCTCACTGGTTTTCCATGTGTGTTGTCCAGTATAAGGTCTTAACATATGAAAAAATAGCTATTTACTGGATGTGTATTAAAAATAACATGTAAAAAACATTTATTTATCTATGGGCAACATTGGCTAACAAAGGGTTAATATTTAAATGCCATGGATCTTAATTCTTATTGGAATTTATTCCAGCATTTTGTGCGTTCATTCCTTTATTTGCTTATATACAATTTTAAGTTTTATTTTCTTCTTCATATTCCTCCTCTTTTTTGATTCGCGCATTAAATGAAAACCACCGTACATTTTTATCCGTTGTTAACGTATTTCGTTTATTGCATTTTTATAGTTTCCGTTTTAATTGTGTTGCTGTTTTTTTTCTCTTTTTTTCTTTTTCTTCTTCTTTTCTTATTTACATCCCTGGTATATATTTACATCCTCTAGTTGTTTACAATGTTGCCAATACCTTTGTTTATTGTTATTCAGTATTAACAATATTCAGCGGTGCATTTTTTTAGTTTTCTCTTTCTACTCCTTTTTGTTTCCTTTTGTGTGAAATTTTTATATTTCTGAAATTATTACAAAAAGGAATGAGCAATGGAAATATTTATATAATAATTAAAGCTTTTATTAAATTAATTGAAATTAAACTGAATATTAAGGATATACGAAGTTGTAGCAAATTACATCTATTTCGATGAGATGAAGAAACTGCAACCAACTTCAGACTGTCATTACTAAGCTTTTAAAATTATTCCAGTGACAGCTCAGCATTTTGGTGAGAATTTTCAAAAAAAAAAAAAAAAATTATTCGTTTTATAGTGTGATTTCTTTATATTTGGCTATCGTTTGAACACTCCAGTATTTAAATATGAATAAATCTTTTGAGTCTCGTACCATCGCTTGTTACCGTGATACTGGTAACGTAGCCCGACGTCACGGAAGTGGACGGAAGAAAGAAAACAGCGACATAGGCAGAAATGGTTCTAAAAGTAAAAAAGCCACTTGATCGAAACCCGCATCGCAGTGGCCGAAAATGGCTTGTGAGCTGAAAATATCGGCAAATATTGAAAAATGAGCTTGGGGTTAAGCCATTGAAATTCCAAAAAGTCCAAGAACTTACACCGCAACAGAAAGAAAATAGACTCAAAAGATCTAAAGAGTTGCTTCGCTTGGGCAAAAGTGGAGAACTGCCGAATTTGATTTTCTCCGATGAGAAAACATTCCTTGTCCAGCAGTTTGAAAACAAACAAAATTATCGTTTTTACTTGCCATAGAGGTCAGCTGAAAATGTGTACCTTCGGTTGGCCACCAGAACCCAAGCGCCGGCCATGGTAATGGTATGGGCCGCCATAACAGTCGACGGTCGCTCTCCGCTCGTATTAATCGTCAGAATAAATGCCGAATATTATCCCGAAAATATTCTGGAGGGGGTATTAAAATTTTGGGCACGCAAACATTTTGGCCGCAGACCTTGGACATTCCAATAGGACTCAGAACCATTGCGCTCAGCACTCGCCGCACAAGAATGGTTACAAAATGGGGTTTCTCGCTTAATTTCCTACGCAATGGCCACCAAAATCTCCGGATACCAATCCGTTGAACTATTGTGTCTGGAGGGGGGTCGAAAATGGTATTGGGCTGTTTTTCTTTTTATGTAGTTCGATATTCTTACGAGATTTATGTATTGCGAAATGCTATGGTTCCCTTCGCTGAAGAAAATGCACCGCTGTTTTGGGTGTTTCAAAGATTGATTGTGGCAGTCAAAAATCAGGATTTTATAATTGAAATGAAAAAAAAAAAACTTTAAAATGTACAGAATTTTCCCTTTATTCACTTCCATTTTCAACACCCTGTAACTCAACTGAATGCACCAAACAAAAAAATATTTTTTACGCTTCTAACGAGCCTACATCTGAAATCGATACTTCACGAGAAATCTATCAGTACAGCCATCTGCCGAAAAAATATGGATTTCTTTTTCCCAAAAAAAAAAAAAAAAAAAAACTCAAAATGTTCCTTTAGTTTTGACCAGGCAAAAATTGGGTCAACTTAGTTTCATAAAGAATATTTTTATTTCAAAATAATTTTTTTCGTTTAAAATTTTTGTTTCTTTTTTAGCACGAGTCTACTTATTTCTAAAAAATCTTTCACCATAATTTTATTTTTAAAAACCTGTTATCGTTACATTTATTCAGTTTGCAATTTTAGTTGCTTTAGTTTTGACCACCAGTGTGTATCTTGACGCCGAATTATAGGTGTAACATTGTAACTCCACTCAACAATTTCTATCCAATGCTGCATTTTATTTTTGAACTTTCTTCCCTGGCTCAAGCCAAGTCAATTATATATGCATATACAATTACATTGCATTGTGTGAATAACAATTCGGAATCGTGGTTTCCTTTCACTGTAATTTTTTTCTTGCGTTTTGTCCTGTGTATCCTTTTACGCAAACGAAACCAAAAAGTACAACATATTTTCACAGAAAAGTTTTGTTTCGAAAACCTCCAGATGATTTTTTTCCACTTGAATTTGCATTTTAACAGACTTTTCTATGTGGAGTTTCGAGTTTTTTTGTTGTTTTTTTGATGATGGTGTTAATTTGAATTTATATTCACTTTTCAAGAGAACAAAAAAGCACACGCACACACACACAAAATAATATCTGCAAATAAAATACATATATGCAATATAGCAAAGGAAGTTTTTAATCGCATTGAGGTTATTTGAAGTATGCATAAGGTTATAAATGGTATCTATGCAGCATAAGGAGTGCACCCACACACACACACACATACATAGATAGACAGATAGAACTTGAGCATAATGGACGACTTTGATATTCAAATAGGGAAATTATAATAAGTTTTGGACAAACCATTACTATATGCTTGAGAACATTTAAATAGATACCCAGACCTTTTTCGAATTTGTCACAGTACGCCACCCATGGTTATGGGCCAATATTTATGGGGTCAAATGGTCCACGACTTTTTTATTGAAACTTAATATATATAACAGTATACCCCAGAGAATAAAAATATCACGAAAGTCAAAGTACAATAGTGATTGGGTATTATATGATCGTCCCCATCTGATTAGATTGCTCACTCCGCCCACTGGTTTAAATTTATTATGGATTATAATTCCAGTCCTAAAACATCTACGGAATAAAAGTCCCGCCTACTAAAACCCTTCATGTTATGACTGATTACTATTGGTGGATGTGTGTTCTGGCTCAAAATCTTTAGTTTCATGTTTTTACAAAAACAAAAAAACATGCTGCTAGAGTGGTATAATAATGTCTAAACTAAACCTCTTATTTAATTTTTTATTTTATTTTTTTTTTTTTTTTAATTTTCATATATTAAATATTTGTGTATTACATACAACGAGTTGTTGATTTATAAATACAACTCAGACTCATTAATTTTCGCATATACAGCGAAATAATGATACCAGATTGATTACAGGTTTATTAATTTCCGTGCGCAAAACTAAATCCCTTCATTCAAAATAGCGAAATTTTAAAATATTTTTACCTAGCATATGTCTGTCTGTATTTGTACATTTCTAATATAAATTTTTATCTACTATTATTTTCTCTTTCCTATATTTCCAACAACACCAACAATATAATTCTTGCATGCTTTGCTGATGATGATAATGTCGATGCAAACAAAATAAAAATCAAATGCCTGCTTTGGATAATGGATTTGGATGCAATGTGACGCCCCACATCTATATGTAAAATAAACGATTATGAATATCAAATACAACAACAACAATTTTTATAATACACGCTTCCTCTCACACACACACACATGACACCAACAACAACAACAACTTGCCAATGTTTTGAATCACACACAGGGATTCGGATTTGTTACCTTTGCAAATAGTGCCGATGCGGAAAGAGCACGTGAACGTCTACATGGTACCGTGGTTGAGGGTCGAAAAATTGAGGTGGGTGCATGTTTTGTTTATATTTATATTATTGATATTATTATATGTATATATATATATATATATTATTTTATAATTAAATTGCTTAAATTATGAAAATTTCATAATGAATTGTTGCATGTTGGGGGAATGATGGAGAATTTTATAGATAAATGTATTTTATTTTGCATCGAAATGGTTAAAAAAAATAGAAAACATATATAAATACGAAAACATATCTAAATACGTTGTTACATCGAAAATACAAGGTCTTATCGCCATCCATTTTTTTAAGTATTTATTTATTCATCAAGGCAATCCCTCTCTGATATAATGCACTTATTCCAGCGAGTTTTCCAATACTCCAAATACTTCGAAATCTGCTTTTTGGTATGGAGGGTATATTAATGTTGTTTTTCCGTTTGTAACTCATCGAAATTATCATGTCTGCGGTCTGTTGTAAACACTCTTTTGTCTGCAGGCAGGTCAAGGTTGGGTGCCACCCAATTTTCGGTATATTAGGGTTCTTGAGTGCGCTCTTTAAACAAATTCACTGAAATTTGGTACAATAGGTTCTTATTGGATACCAATATTCTCCACTAAAATGTATAAATATAAGCCCACTTTTTCTTGTAGCTCCCATATAACGGTGCCCCCAATGTTCGGCATTTTGGGGTTCTTGAGTGCGCTTTTTAAACAAATTCACTGAAATTTAGAACATTGGGTCCTTATTGGGTACCAATACTCTCCACTAAAAATCATAACAATCGGTCCATTTTTTCTGGTAGCCCCCATCGTTATATGGGTAACGGCGGGGGGCTACCATATAACGGTAATCCCAATTTTGGGGTTCTTGAGTGGCCTTTTTAAACAAATTCATTGAAATTTGGTACAATAGATTCGTAGGGGGTAACCAATATTCTACACTAAAATTTATAAATATAGGTCCATTATTTCTGGTAGCTCCCATATAACGGTACCCCAAATTTTCGATATTTTGGGGTTCTTTTGAGTGCATTTTTCAAACAAATTCTCTGTAATTTGGTACAATGGGTTCTTATGGAGTCCAAATTTCTCCACTAAAACTTATAAATATAGGACCACTATTTTTGGTAGCCCCCATAAAATTTGGTGCATTGGGTTCCACTTTTTGGTAGTCCACTTTTTTCGTAGCCTCCATATAATGGTGCGCCCAATTTTCGGAATTTCGGGGTTTTTGATCTTTTTCAATCGAAATCACGGTAATTTGGCACTTTGGTTTCTTATGGGATACCAAAGCTCCCCATTAAAAGTTATAAATATAGGTCCCGGTATCCCCCATACCGGGAAAAAGTAGACCTATTAACACAACCCTCAAAATGTTCAGTATTTAGAGGATTTTGAGCGCGTTTTTTGAAAAGAATTCGCTTTCATTTGGTATTTTGTATTGGTACAAAAAATTATATTCGCCCCCTTTTTTGGGGTAGACCCATATAACCCCCTTTTTATATTAAAATAGTTAACTAATTTGTTCTGCGTTTTGGTGTTGCCTCCATATTGCTGTATTCCACCATAGTATGGAGGATATTCTGTACACAAAATTGTCAGTTTATACCCTACATAGTATGGAATTGTAGAACGATATAGCTCAACCATTCTTTTTAGATATACCATAGCAATTTCTGTATCCGAAATAGAATACACATTTTGTTATTTTTCATACAAAAGTCAGGGTCCATTTGACCCGTTAAATATTGACCGATCGTTATCAAAATAGGCATTCTTCGGGCCATAATTGCAACATCTGGAGCGATCAAAACTTCATTCCTTAAATATGAACCGATTTTTAACAAAAACAATAGGGGCCAGAACCGGGCCAATCGTGAAGATTGGTCCATAGCTGTGGCCTGTGGCGTGTGTACAAAAACAGTAATGGTCTTCATTACTGCTAGTCGAGATATGACGAGCTGAATACCAAAAGCTGGATCTAGAAGCAAAATTTCGTGGCGTTACAAACTCTTGGGGCTGCACAAAGATATAATACCCTTTCAATAACATAGTTGTTTAGGATAAAAATAACTAAAATTTTAGAGATCATCTGTTTCTACTGTAAAGTTGCTTTAGTTTTGTCCAAGCAAAAATTATTATTTATTTCATAATGAATTATTAACTTATAATAACTACATTTTATTGTCCAAAATTGTGTGGCAATCGGACAAACTTTGGGTCTTTAGTTCACAATTTACATAAAATCGGAAGAAAAAAATATATAGGAGCTATATATAAATCTGAACCGATTTTCAGGAAACTTTACACACATCACTTCAGACTCATTTCAGTACACTATGCCAAATTTTGTGCAAATCGAAATATGTATAGGGACTTTGGTACACCATTTACATTAAATCGGACGAAAATATATATGGGGCTATATCTAAATCTGAACCGATTTTCAGGAAACTAAAAACACATCATTCTAGACCTAATTCATTACGCTATGCCAAATTTCCTGCAAATCGAAAGATATATAGGGACTTTGGTACACTATTTACCTTAAATCGGACGAAAATATATATGGGAGCTATATCTAAATCTGAACCGATTTTTCACAATTTCAATAGGGTTCGTCCTTGGGCCAAATAAGTGACCTGTGCCAAATTTCATCCAAATCGGATCATATATGCGACCTGTACTTTGTTAACAAAAATACATGGACGGACGGACAGACGGACATGCATAAATCGACTCAGAAAGTGATTCTATGCATATTCTCAAAAGGAACCATGGGTCTATCTCGATTATTTCTGCCTGTTACAAACATATACACAAAGACATAATACCCTGTACCACAGTGTAGTGAAGGGTATAAAAACCAACACGACATCTTTATTTCTGAAAAAGTTATTAACCTTTCAATTTTGGTTGCTTTAGTTTTGACCACCAGTGTTACTCCATCAAGTATTGAATTATTTCGTCATTATAATTTTGCTCCAACATTAAACGTAATAATCTATGAATCCCAATTTATTTCTATCGGAGGTGGGCTGAACCAAATTTTAAATATTTATTTTGATTGTTCGAAGATAATAGCTTAGAATAAAAATGAGTCAGTCGTCAGGTAGTGTTACCAATTACCTTACCGCATAGTTTCATGTCCATGCAAACAGTTTTGTAATCATATATGACAAATTGAGATTAATTTTCTATCCATCATCATTATAATAATTTGTATTATTGATATGTATATAATCCTATCAAATGCCATCGCATCTGTTGCATAAATAATGGGATTTACATTGAAAATTTGTATTTAATCTGGATCTCGTGACAAAAACATGTGACAGTTGGTAATGCCAATATTTATATACTTATTGGACAAAGAAAAATAGTTAAAATGTATGCAGATTTTTCATAAATATAAAACAATAATTATTCGTTGAAAATTAAATACGAAATACATTCACACATTTAATTCATATTTTGATATTGTGTGTGTGACTGTTCGTTCTAAATCTTGCTTGTTCGACAGTATTGCCTGTACATCTATGTAATTCATCTGACATCCATGAACATGTTTGTGTCATTCAATACTGATAGTGCCTGCGTCGCTTAAAGGATACACCAATCAACTAAACGTGTACATATCTTATTGATAAAAGCCAAGAGGTTGTAATAAAAATAGGCCAATTATCGAAATCTGATTTTCAGAGCAAGGGAACGGACTTAATCTTACTTTGGTGACAACATAAGAAAACAAATGCTACGATTATGCTAAACACCCAGCAAACAATTTTTGGCGAGTATTTTCCGAATCTTTAGACAAGTTTTCGTTGTTGCAGATTATTGTAGTGCCGGTGTAGATGTGTGGAGTACCCTCTCTGTCACTTTCATAAACATTACTTCATTTACATAGTATTCTCTTCACACCCAATTATTTTCCACTTGAAATGTTATTGTGAAATATTTAAAAGTTGGCAGAATTGTGTTAATACACACACACACACTTTACATTAAAATAACAGAAAACTTGAATAGTTTATTTTACTTTGTGAAGGAGTAGTGACGGTGGCCCTGACACATGAAAATACACAAATGAATATTAAAAACAAAAACAAAATAGAAACCAACAGCCTGAATTGCCTTACACTATGTTCCAATTGTAAAAATGTTACTCTTTTTTCCGAAAAAAAGAGTAAAGAAAAACTTTTTCTTGCTAAAAAAATACAAGTTTAACAAAAAAACACACACATACACACGCGAAACTCTGCCATAGTTGGAAAACAACTATATTTGCATATGCCAGACAGAGTGCCTTCAACATATGCAACACTATTTATGGTAATATTTCTCCAGCTATTTGCATTCATTCAGGTTTGTTTGAAAGTACTGTACACAAGGCTGTTTGCCGTTTTTTTTATGTAAATTGATGTTTGTGTTATTTTTCCTGTCAACATGACTTGGCATCGATGACAAAAAAAATCCGATTTTTTTTAGTGTAAAATCCAATACCCAATTTTATGATCCTAAAATGTGTTACCGATATCATGAACAATACAAATGTAATATCCTGAAATACAAAAAAACAAATTATTGAATCTAAAAAAACAAAATATTTCTCTTGCGATGATTTTTATACACAATAATTATATTGTCAGGGTATTGTAGCTTTGTGTGGCCCCAAGAATTTTTAACGTCGCGAAATATTGGCCCTAGTATACCAATCGTCATATCTCGTCTAGCTTTGTCGATCTAGGCATGTGTGTCTGTCTGTCCTCAACAATTATCCGGTTCGAAGGACCAATGTTTGTTTCCTACGCTTCAACTTCTCAAGGAAATAACAGGGTGGTTGGATTTTATCATTATTATTTTTATACCCTACACAACTATGTTGTCAGGGTATTATAGCTTTGTGCAGCCCTAAAAGGTTGTAACGCCGCAAATATTGGTCCTAGAACCACCTTTAAGTATACCGATCGTCATATCTCGACTAGCTGAGTCGATCTAGACATGTGTGTCCGCCCGTCCGTCGTCTGTCCATTATA